CCCAGGCATCGGCGGAGTACGCGGTGATGCCCACACGCCTAGGGGAGGCCCACAGAGCGCCAAAGGGGCCCCTGATGGAGGACCAAGGGTGCGACAGTCCCGAGAGATGAGCATGGGCCTCACGAATGCCGATATCCAGGGCCTGGAAGGGCAACCAGAGGTCCTGGAGAGCATGGAAGGATTTAGCAGGCAACCAAGTAGCTCTGTAAATGGGGCCCAGACAGGGAACAAGGGGCCAACAAGAGGGCCAGAGTGCGGGACTTGCCATCTTGATGGTAGTCCTGAAGTTTACCAGCAGCTCCTCGCAGAGCCTCCAACTCCCGTCCGTTAGTGCCCATAACAGAAGAACCATAAAGCACGGAAGTCTCCAGAGCACTTCGAGCCATGCGCCCAAGCACGCGGCGACGAGGCTTAGAACCTTGCAGAAAGGACATGCGTTTCCTACGCAGCCGCATCGCCTTGACGCGATCGGCAGCGGTGGCCTTGCCACCGACCTGGCCCGAGGCAAAATCCACACCGATATTGCGCTCCGAGCGCACAGGCAGGGGCCGGAGGCTCTTTAACTTAGCGGCAATTGAATTGCGCACAGAGGGCGTGTTGCCAAGCACACGCGGTTTGTCTAGAGAAAACTTAAGGTCGACGTCCTTGAGCTCGCCATGCAAGCGCTTGCCAGCTGCCACGATGTCATCAACAACCCGCTTCTCGGTGCCCCAGCGCATGAGGCCGAAGTCATCAACGTTGACGGAGAGGTTCACAGTCGGGCAGCTGGCCTGCACGGCATCGAGCGGGCCTAAAAGAACAATCTGCAACATGCATGTGGCAAACGTACATCCTGGCACAACGGTTTGCTCAACCTTCAACAAGGAACCAACCTCGCCAGCAACATCGAGCAACCCAGGGGCACGATAAATCTGGACCAGGAGGCACAGTTGCCACATAGGAAATCCAGTGGCCTTGGCAGCAGAAATCAAGTGAGAGCGCTGAACAAGCTCGAACGCTTTCTTCAAATCAAGAAGCAAAGTGGCGCAACTGCGGTTCTTATACGTGGAGTGCTCCGACCACGCAGCTTGGATCCACGCGCATTTTTCCGAGGACTTCCCGTGGGTGGACCAGAAGAACGAACGATCGTTTTGAGCTTGCCACTGCCTGATGAGAGGACGTCTCAAGCGACATTGCACGCGGGCCAACACGTGCAAGAGCCCCAAGGGACGGACCCCACCAGTTCTCTTAAGAACGAAATCAATTCTGTTCCACATGACAGGCCAATCTCGCTGATGCCCAATGTGAGAAAGCAAATCGCACAAAGCTTCAAGGGCGGGCGGCGGCAGCAGCAAGAGCGATCTCGTCGAGATCTGGTCAAAGCCAGTGCCCGTGCCAGCCTTAAAGCTTTTGAGAGAGGACACAAGCTCAGGAACGGTAGGCCTGGGAGGGGGATCTCCGAGCTCGGGCCGAACGAGGGGGGGCTTTTTGGACCCGACGGACCACCACTGCTTCCACTCAGCTTCGAGAACGTCGATCGACTCGATCGACGAAGCAGGGCGAAGGGTGGAGTGGTCAAGCACGTCAGGCTGCCAACCGATGGGCAGCGACGAAAACCTGAAAAAGGGCCGACATCCCCCCCGAGGAATGCTTGTCAACCCACTGATTCCAATCCCTTTCCTTGGTGGCGGACGAGAGGGAGTGCCGGCGCTTGGCCTCGCAGTCGGCCATGCGCGCGAGCGCCGCGAGCGAAAGGTGCGGCACAAGGGGGGCCTGCCGCAGCACCGCCGACCACGCAGCATACTCCGCGGTGTCGGACAGGCGTAGGAAACCTGACAGACGATGAGTTGCTGAAGCCAACTGCAGCCTGTGGGTACCCACAGGATCTCGAGCGAGGTCGGAGAGGGGCACGCTAACCTTCCTCCAAACGATCTTAAGAGGCTGACAACGCCCGACGAACCGATCAGCGTGCCCCCCCCCCCCCCCCTCCCCCGACTCAGCTTCGGCTGCGCGGACAAACGCGGGCCACTTGGCCTGAGCCGCAACGTTGGGGTCGGCACAGAGATCCTGGACGGGCTCCCAAAGCCCTTCGAGGGGGGGGGGGGGGGGGGGGGACCGCAGCCGATGGGGACCTCAAGGGGGAAATGCCTGGGGACATTGACGACGCGGACAGAGGCAACATTCTCGACCTTGGGGAAGGAGAGCCTGACAGGAAGGTGAGGAGAGGTGGGGACGTCAGGCACGACTTCAGCCCTGGCCCCACCTGCAATACACCTTGAAACGACGAAGAAATCGACGCAGCGAATGGCTGGGCGACAGGTGCCGCCCTCAGGAGCAACGACTGCGGAGTCCATGGCGCCCACCCGGCCAGACTTGACCAGGTCGCCGTGGGGAACGTTCCAGTCGCCACCGATCACGAAAGGGATGGCGGCACACTGCAACCGAGAGCCAACGCGGCTCAGAATATCCCAATTGAACTCATCGGGGCCGACCGAATGCTTCAGGGAAAGGTTGGCGACAAGAAAGCCACCGCGCATCATGCCGCCGACGTGATGCAGGCTGGCACGAGCTGGATGGATGTCCTTGTCAACGGAGTCGAGCACCCCAAGCCCGACGCGCCGCGGAGTCGCCGTAAGTAACCTTCCTGTCGGATTGCCAAACGCAGGCGGCGCTGCCGCGAGAGACGCAGACCAGCCGATGACGCGGAGCCGAGCCTCAGTGGCGCCCATGTTGGCGCCGATCACCCTGGTCTCTTGAATCGACAAAACGTCGGCAGGAATGTACTCGGCGAGAAAAGCATCTCGACCTGCCTGCCCGCCAACGTTGGCGGTGAGCAAAGACCACACCTTGGGCTCGCGCAAGCCCGGCGTGTTAAAGAGACTGCGCGGCAGCTTGCTCTTGGAACGGCGAAACAGAAAGCACCCTCGAGGTGGCCTCATTGATGCCTCCGAGAATATTCTCAGCATGCTTGCGAGTGAGGCCTTTCGTTTTGAGAAACTCGTCCCAACCTTCATCGGTGGTGAGCTTCTTAAGATAGCCTTTGAAAACCCTCGTGGCGGCGGCGCCGCGAGGGGTAGGTGTGACCTTGCCACCCCGTCCCCGCCCAGTGCCCCTCCCCCCGCCACGTAGAGAAGCAGGCGCGTAGCCAGAGGCAAAAGGTGACGCAGAGCCAGCGAGAGGCGCGGCCGAAGCGGCGACGCTGGCAGAGTCAGCTTGCGAGGCTTCACTGATTGCAGTGCCTGGCACCACATCCTCCATGACCTCGGTGTCGCCATCCTCGCTGGACTCGCCTTCTGCACTGCGCGCATCAGCACGAAGAAGGCCGTCTCGTGTGGCGAGCAGGGCTTGGAGCGACATGGCCAACGTGGGATCGAGCGACTTGAGCTGCAAAAGGAGGGCGAATGCGGGATCCTCAGGGGACAGTGGCACACCTGCACCGTCGACGACATTGACGCGATGAGCGGCACAGTGCGCCCAGGCCGCAGTAGCCTTGGCTGAGGCGTCCCGTTCACGCTCCTCGAGCGACTCCATGGCGTACTTGAGCTGCACGAGCCCAGAAACCTGCCCTGCAGCTCGGACCTCGACCTTCTGGATCTTCTTGGCGGTCTGCATGATCTGGCGGTTGGCGTCATCGAGGACGGACTGCGCATGCTGCGTGACCGCACGCGGGTCACCGGCGGCCAGCGCCCGCTGGGCGACCACCTTGGCCCTCTGCGATGGAGACAGCAGAGGCCTGACCACCTCGAAATCCTCGTCAGACATGCGCACCATGCGGGCCAGCTGCTCAGGCTCGAGCAGCTTGTGCTTCGGCTTGGGCTTGGGCGGCCCACCCGCCCATGCGGCTTGAGCAGCAGGAGGCTGCACAACAGCAGGAGCAGGAGGACGAGCCGTACCGCACTTGTAGCAGAACTTCTTTCACGCAAAGTTGGTTTTGAACCCGCACTTCCGCTTGGGACAGCACCACACATCATTGCGATCGCCCATCGAATGGGCGGGACACGGAACACTTGCTCCAGCAGGAGCTCACAAAGAAAGACGGATGCCAAAATCGCTGGTTGACTCAACCACCTTGAAAAGATGAACTACTTGAGCCAAAATGGCTTGAGCCAAAATGGCTACGGACCCTCCTCCTCCTTTTCCTCCTCCTCCTCCTTCTCCTCCTCCTCCTCCTCCTCCTCCTCTCTCCCCCTCCTCCCCTCCTCCTCCTCCTCCTCCTCCTCTTCCTCCTCCCCCCCTCCTCCTCCCCCCTCCCCCTCCGCCTCCTCCTCTCTCCTCCTCCCTCCTCCTCCTCCTCCTCCTCCCTCCTCCCCTCCTCCTCCTCCCCCTCCTCCTCCCCCTCCTCCCTCCTCCTCCTGCTCCCCCTCTTTCTCTTTCTACAATTTCTCAATATGGATACTATTCTCCCTCTTCCCCTGATGACGGCCTGCGAGTGTCCGACCCCCCCGCGTATTTTTTTTACACAGGTTTCCCCGGAGTTGTGTTTTCGCCTGCATTTGTTTCCAAAATGCTGCTGTCGCTGAGGCGCCGGCCTCATTGTCGGGCCCCGCTCGTTCCGAATCGTGCTCCCGCTGCAGCGCTGGCCTCATTTCCGTGTTTCTGGTCGTTCCGAATCGTGCTCCCGCTGCAGCGGTGGCCTCATTTCCGCGCTTCCGCTCGTTTCGACTCGTGCTCCCGCTGCAGCGCTGGCGTCATTTCCCGTGCCATCCCACGGCGTGCAATGCAATGCTAGGTTGATGCTACGCTTTGCGGTGCTCTTCTACGCCATGCCATGCCGTGCTCTACAATGCATCGCGTACCTTTTCGGGATCATTGCCCTGCTCGACATCCGACTGTGCGAGTAGAGAGGGGATCTGCGCCATGGTAAGGGATGGGAGGGAGGGTAGGATGTCAGATATGACGCGAGCGCACCTAGCTTGCTTCCTCCCCTCCTCCTCTTCCTCTTCATCCTCCTCCTCCTCCTCCCTCTCCTCCTCCTCCTTCCCTCCCCCTCCTTGCGAAACGCGCTGTCTGCCCACGCGCAGCCCTTGGCCGTTTGTGGGCCGCTGCGGACTCGCCAGCCACCAGGACCAATATGCCCCTTTCGAATCTGCCAGGCTGGAGATGGCCGACGGCGCTAAGAAGGACTCGCGCCGATCGCGCCGTGCAGCGCTATTGCTCGATCTAAAACCCTGGAGCTTCGACATCCTTGGAAATGACAGCAATGAGGCCGGGCAGCTGTATGGCTTGTTGGTTGTCCTCCCGAGGGCCTGGTAGAGGCTGCCGTCTCGGGGGGGCGAGGCAGGAGTCCGAAACGGAGACGCTTGAGTTCTAGATTCGATGGTTTCTTGTGAAGGCCCACGGGCTACCTCTAATGTTCCCGTTGCCGCTTCAAGGCTCGTCCGCATTTCTTTTCGCCAAGTTTTAAAACATATTACAAGGAATTTGCTCGGCATCGATCGTGGGTGCTCCAAGGATGGACCATTGTTTTTGTAGCGTCTGGTGCCTACATGGGTGCAATTGTGTTGGGGGCGGAGTCTATGGTCATGCACGACTTCGTATAATCAATACGTAGGCGTACTAGTAACGCATGACAATCCTTCGGACCAGAACTTTCGATCGTGGCTGATGTTTGGTATGGTTCGTTGTCTGGGTGGGCATCCAACGTCGCGGTAAATTGAATATCCATGTTGACATCGATTGTGGCCGTATCGCGAGTAGTGCTTATATTTTTCTCCAGGGCGTGCCCCAATGAGTGGGTCGTATGTGTATTGTTGATGTGCTTGAGCATGATCCCGACATTGACGGCCAGAAACATCAGTCCTCCATTGTTTGCCCTCCCCCTCCCCAACACTCCACGCTGTCTGCATATCTTATGCACTCTACACCCTTCACAGTATCGACGTTCTTTACAGCCCCCTGCGCGAGAGTACTAGTCCCCTCCGAATGACTTTGTTTGGTGCATTCTGTAGCTGTTCCATACGAAGACTTCTTTATTCCTTCCTATGCGCTCTCTACGCTCACCACACTGCCAATATATCCTCTGCGTCATGGATGCTATCCACACTTCCCACAATGCGATTATTCTCGAGGTCTACAGTATCTGTGCCCTTACGGTCTTCATGCGCATGCGTTCAATCAGGCTCGGTGTCTGCGTGCTTTCCGACTGCCTCACCTTGCACGTTGTTCCCCAGATTCCATCTGCTCTCTAGACGCACCCTCTTCCGCGCGGAGAGATCCGCAGGCCGGGTTCGTCGTAGCCGCCGATGGGGTGACAAGAAGGGGTGATCGCGCGAGGACTCGCCTTCCGGAAGGCTCTACTCCGAGATGCTGCAGAACATCCTGGGGCCCTTGGAGCCCGACAGGACGCGGCAGCAGCCGCTGGCTTTGGGGAGGTTCGGCGGCGAGCGAGGGGGGGGGAAGGGAGAAGGAGGAGGCCTCCTCAGAAGCCTCCGAAGTCCCCCAGCCTTCCGAGAAGTGTTCTGAGCCTTCCCCGAAGACGCAACGAGCCCCTCAGAAGGCGCGAGGGCTCCTGCGGAGTCCCGCCGCCTTCTGAGAAGGACTCCCCTTTTCTCTCTCTTTTTTTCCCCGCCTCGCGCGCCGCCGATCTTCGGATCACGGGAGCTCGATCGGCCCCATCCGGCCAAAGCGGGCGTTCGCGGGCTTTGGCGCCCGGCAGGGCCCCCGCACGGGGCCCCTCGTGCCCGGCCCGCGAGACTCTGGCAGACGCAGAGGGGCGTCGCGCTCCCCTCCCGTGTTCTCCTCGCGGTCGAGCCTGAGCATCAGCAGTCAACCCTCTGAGCATCAGGAGGGACAAAAAAAAACACAGACACCATTTTATCGTCGACCCCCCAGAAAATATGGGGAAATAGGGGGAGTGGGGGGGAAGACAAAAAAACCCAGACAGTCGGCGAGAATTCAGGGAATCCTGTTATTTGTGTGTGTGTGTGTGTGTGTATCTATTTGTGTGTCTCAGGGCCCCTTCAGAGAAGCTCGCCGCCGCCTTCCGTCGAACAAGAAGCAGCGCCACAAGCATAAAACTTTTGGCGCTCCGCGCGGATCTCTTGGATCCGCGCCGATCCCCCCTCCCCTGCCGTTGTTCCTTGGTCTCTTCTGAGAATCAGAGCGTGAATTACCTACCCCGCTTTCGCTTCCAGGCAAAACCAAGCCATACCACGCGCCTCCTCTTCAAGCGGCCTGACCAGTACAGGCTGCAATTTTGTATATCTTGGAAGCGAGGGTGGTCAAAAGCGAGGTCGGTTTGTTGCCCCTAGAGAAGCTTTTCTCCTCCTCGCTTCCTCCCCCCCTAGCTCGCCGCCGAGAGGTGTGTGCGTGGGCGCACGGCCCCCGGTGCTGCTGCCGCAGTTGCTGCCGCCGCGCCGCTCTGCCCACGGTCATGGGCCAGCTCGGGCCCCGGCCCTCGGCTGTGTCGGGGCTCGAGCGTGAAGTCGGGCGTGTCGTCCCTCTACAGGAGGGATATCCAAACGTCGTCCAAACAATAGTCAGGATACGAGTGTTGTGTTATATCTATATATATAGATATAGAGCAGTAGTGTTTGACGATTGTTAGGTTTTGTGATGACGTGACATGGGCGCATCTACTTCTGCGAGCGGCATTCCGGAGGCTCGCAGCCCCCCAGGGTTGCGAGGTCCCGCTCAGATCTGCGCGGTGCCTCACTCCGTTGGACCCGCCAGCAGCCCTCGAGAGTTGCGACAGTTTCGCAGATCGCAGCCCCCCAGGGACAGTCCCGCTCAGATCTGCGCGGTGCCTCACTTCGCTGAACCCACCAGTCTTCGAAAAGAGAGAAGGTTCGCAGATCGCTGCCCCCCGGGCACGGCGAGGTCCCGCTCAGATCTGCGCAGTGCTTCACTCCGCTGGACCCACCAGCAACCTTCGAAAGTGGCGACAGTTTCGCAGATCGCTATGCTGGCCCCCCAGGCAGCCCTCGAAAGTGGCGACAGTTTCGCAGATCGCAGCCCCCCAGTGACGGCGAGGTCCTGCTCGGATTTGCGCGGAGCGTCACTCCGCTGGACCCACCAGCAACTCTCGAAATTGGTGACAGTTTCGCAGACCGCAGCCCCCCAGGGACGGCGAGGTCCCGCTCGGATCTGGACCCACCATCAGCCCTCGAGAGTTGCGACAGTTTCGCAGATCGCAGCCCCCCAGTGATGGCGAGGTCCCTTTCAGATCTGCGCGGTGCCTCATTTCGCTAGACCCACCAGCAGCCATCGAAATTGGCGACAGTTTCGCAGATCGCAGCCCCCCAGGGATGGCGAGGTCCCGCTCAGATCTGCGCGGTGCTTCACTCCGCTGGATTCTCCAGCAGTCCTCGAAAGTGGCGACAGGTTCGCAGACCGCAGCCCCCCAGGGACGGCGAGGTCCTGCTCAGATTTGCGCGGTGCTTCTCCCCGTTGGACCCACCGGCAGCTTTCGAGAGTGGTGACAGTTTTGCAGATCGCAGCCCCCCAGGGACGGCGAGGTCCCGCTCAGATCTGCGCGGTGCCTCACTCCGCTGGACCCACCACCAGCCCTCAAAAGTGGCGCCAGGTTCGCAGCCCCCTAGTGACGGCGAGGTCCCGCTCAGATCTGCGCAGTGCCTAACTCCGTTGGACCCGCCAGCAGCCCTCGGGAGTTGCGACAGTTTCGCAGACCGCAGCCCCCCAGGGACGGCGAGGTCTCGCTCAAATCTGCGCAGTGCCTCACTCCGTTGGACCCGCCAGCAGCCCTCGGGAGTTGCGACAGTTTCGCAGACCGCAGCCCCCCAGGGACGGCGAGGTCTCGCTCAAATCTGCGCAGTGCCTCACTCCGTTGGACCCACCAGCAGCTCTCGAACGTGGCGACAGTTTCGCAGATCGCAGCCCCACAGGGACGGCGAGGTCCCGCTCAGATCTGCGCAGTGCCTAAATCCGCTGGACCCACCAGCAACTTTCGAAAGGGGTGACAGTTTCGCAGATCGCTATGCTGTCCCCCCAAGCAGCACTCGAAAGTGGCGACAGTTTCGCAGACCACAGCCCCCCAGGGACGGTGAGGTCCCGCTCAGATCTGCGCGGTGCCTCTCCCCGCTGTGCCCGCCAGCAGCCCTCGATAGTGGCGACAGCTTCGCAGATCGCAGCCCCCCAGGGACGGCGAGGTCCCGCTCAGATCTGCGCAGTGCCTAACTCCGCTGGACCCACCAGCAGCTTGAAAGTGGCGACAGCTTCGCAGATCGCAGCCCCCCAGGTACGGCGAGGTCCCGCTCAGATCTGCGCGGTGCCTCAGTCCGCTGGACCCCCCAGCAGCCCTCGAAAGTGGCGACGGGTTTGCAGATCACAGCCCCCCAGCGACGGCGAAGAGAGGACAGGAGGTGGGAGTAGGCGGGAGGAGGAGCAGACGCGACCGTGGTGCTTTGTTCAAAACGAGAGCCCAACCAAGGAGGGTTGGGACAATCCGTCTGTAGGAGGACATGGCCGACCTAACTCAAGCGACGGGGGTCAATGCAAACGGGGGTCAGTCAGAGCGCCAGATCATGCAGGATCCTGCGGGTCCACGGTCGCATTGACCCGGACTTCGGTGCAATATTCGAAGAAGAAACAATTGCATAAACATAATTTTGTGGCGCCCCGCGCGGATCTGCGCTGGGCCCCCCTGGCGGCGCCTCCAGCGCCAATCCTGGCGCGCTCGGCGCGCCAGGCAGGGGACGTCCGGCGCGGATCCAAGAAGTCCATGCGGAGCGCCAAAAGTGAAAGCTTTCGCAGTTCATTCTTCTTCTAAGGATCCTGCGGGATTCTGTCACATCCTGCAAATCTTGACTGGCCCGGGTCTGGACTGACCCGGGTCAGTAGGTCCCCGATGGGAGGTCTTGGCCCCGCTGCGCGCTGCGTCCACGCGCAGGGCCTCGTCCGCAGCGGCCCCTGGTCGTGGGGGACCCATCTTGGCATTGCTCGGCCGTGTGTGTTTTTTCTCTCGGCAAGAGCTGTCGAGTACCACTTCCGTCAATCCTGTGGAACAAATGCGCGCACGAAACCAGAGGGTGCGCGAGGAGTGTACGCCCGAGCGACGGCAAGACATCCCATCGTTTGCCCTGGTCTTGGGACGAGGTCCCACCAGATCGGGTCCTGGCCCGCGGTGCTCCGCCCTTAGTGGGCCCCGGAAACGGCAGGGCCGGTTTTTCACCGTTTCCGAAAAAGTGTCCCTTGAGAATGGAGACGGCAACAAAAACGGCGACCGGAAACGGCAACAGAAACGGCTCCAGGATTGGAATTGGAGCGGGGACCCGCAAAAGAACGGCGACGGAACCGGTAAAAAAACGGCGTCGGAACCGGGACAAAAAACGGCAGAACGAATCGGGAAAAAAACGGCAGAGCGGAACCGGCAAAACAAAACGGCCTTGTCGTTGCCAGGGCCCATTAATAGGCTCCGCGCACTCGGGTCCTGCCGGGTCCGGTTCCTGCCCGCGGTGCCCCGTCTGTTGGGTCTTGCTCAGCTTTTGGTCCTGGCCTCGATTTGCCCGGATGTGGTTGAGAGGGAGGAGGAGGAGGAGGAGGAGGAGGAGGAGGAGGAGGAGGAGGAGGAGGAGGAGGAGGAGGAGGAGGAGGAGGCGGAGGCGGAGGCGGAGGAGGAGGAGGCGGAGGAGGCGGAGGCGGAGGCGGAGGGGAGGCGGAGGCGGAGGGGCGGAGGCGGAGCGGAGGCGGAGGGAGGCGGAGGCGGAGGCGGAGGCGGGCGGAGGCGGAGCGGAGGCGGAGGCGGAGGCGGAGGCGGAGGCGGAGGCGAGGAGGAGGAGGAGGGAGGAGGAGGAGGAGAGGAGAGGAGGAGGAGGAGGAGGAGGAGGAGGAGGAGGAGGAGGAGGAGGAGGAGGGGGAGGAGGAGGGAGGAGGAGGAGGAGGGGAGGAGGAGGAGGAGGAGGAGGAGGAGGAGGAGGAGGAGGAGGAGGAGGACGAGGAGGAGGAGAGGAGGAGGAGGCGGAGGAGGCGGAGGAGGAGGAGGAGAAGGAAGAGGAGGAGGAGGAGGAGGCGGAGGAGGAGGCGGAGGAGGAGCAGGAGAGGCAGGAGGAGGCGGTGAGGAGGCGGCGGAGGAGGAGGAGGAGGAGGAGGAGGAGGAGGAGGAGGAGGAGGAGGGGGTGGAGGGGGAGGAGGGGGAGGAGGGGGAGGAGGGGGAGGGGGAGGGGAGGGGGAGGAGGTTCGCCAGAGGATCCTGGCATGCATTCTGCCCAGAGGTGGTGGCCGTCGCAGTGGCTGCCTAAAGGGTTCGCTTCGCAGGGTCAGGCCTTGGTTGCCAAGTCGGCCTGGATCACACGTTTTGGCCCACCCACTGGAGTTGTGTGTGTGTGTGTGTGTGTGCGTGCGTGCGTGTGTGTGTGTGTGTGTGTGTGTGTGTGTGTGTGTGTGTGTGTGTGTGTGTGTGCGGTGGGTCTTTCGTTGAGCTTTCGTTGCTCTCTGGCCCCGCTGACCCCGACGCATTCTGGCCAAACGGACACCGTCTCAGGTGCGAGGTAACTCGGGCTTCCCTGTAGCGATTTCTAAGCTGTGCATTCGTTCTCTGGTGCTGCTGTTCTGCCTTACCATCGCCAGCCAGCTCCGACGCGCTGAAAGAGCCCTTTTTCCAAGGATTATCCGTTTCGACATCGACTTCGGCATTACAGAAGTGAGTTTGGATTCTTTTATAGGGCGTGCTGCCCACATCCACTTCATCGAGAGCCAGGAACTCATGAAGATGTTGACCCACATGTACCCGTTCCTTTTTGAGTAGCTGGTATTTTGACGAGATCGGTGGTTTAGCTGGTAAGGGCTTCATACTGATGTAGTGGCAAGCGTAGCGCTGATTTATTAGGCTTTTCCGAATCCGCCGACCCATTGTTGGCCTTTCGGCAGTTGGAGGTCGGGCTTCATAGTGGGGCTCTGGCGTAGGGTACCTCTTGGAGCATGGCCCGCTCGCTCTTTGGGTAGATTTGATCCGTCTTGGGGCAACCTTGGTGGTTTCTTCGGCCGTCTTGGACGCACCCAGCATAGCCTGGACCCCCTCCGTTGCCCAGTGCCTTCCCCCTCCCCCCTCCCCCCCAGACTGGCAAACGGGGCTCCCGGGCGAGGGCAGCTATCTCACACGCCATGGGCATTCCCAGGTCGGCAATTTTGGCTATGTGCGGCTGTCGTGCCATTTGGCTCGTGTATGCGTTTGTTGTTGTTTTCAAGTCTGCGCGCAGGTCTTCTAGCTAAGCTCCTATGATACATATCATCTGAGCTCAGCAGTTGCCGCGAGCACGTGGCCCCACGTTCAGGGTCGGGGGAGTCGGGGGAGTAATCGAGGGGGCGGATATTATCACAACAATGCCGACGTGCAACAGTGACGGTGAATCGAGAATCACAGTCTCATTTGGAGCCGTTGCTTTGCAAGTGAAGCTCTGCAAGCAGAGGAGGGGATCTGAGTGTCGGCGTACGGCGATCCTCCATGGGGTTGCTCCCACAAGGTGGCGGGACGATGTGCAAGCACAAGTTATTATCTTGAATATCGTTTTGTATATATTCGCGAAATGAAGGGACCAGGGTGATGGTTCGATCAACAGATGGCAGCAGTCGTAATACCCGGCCATTTGTGTCACGCGGCGCTGAGACTGCACCACTTGGTGATCACACTTATCTTTGTTCAGATTGACTTTCTGGTCTGCAAGCCTGCTCAGGGCCAAACAGTCACCTGTATGGCAGTCTCATGCTCAGTGATAGTCCATGCTGATTCATGGCAGACGCCTTCATAGGTGGTTGTTATCTGAGCCACGAAGGTGCATGCAGTGAGACACCATGTTAGTCATACTTGACCCCACACACTGTGTTTCTAAACATCCATGCTATCTGATCTATATTGCGCAATCTCTGGTGGTCAAGCTACGTGGTACAATCTATGTGGTGCATTGGCCACGCTGCACCGCGCGGGACCACTTACCATTCTCGTGCAAACATCCCACCGTCCCACCCGCATCTAGGTCGACAACACTCATAAGGTCGCGACTGCAGTTGCAGCGTGGAGTTCGTCCGCAAATTTCATCGAGCCCACTGGCACGCAGTACCTCGTGGCGCGGGCACATCCATGTTGCGGGAGATAGCGCGGACGACGGTGCAACGACGATGGTGCGGTTGGCGGAATTCATAAGGTCGCGAGTGCAGTTATAGCGTGAAGCCCTTCCAGTAAATTCATCGTGCGCATTGGCGCGCGGGCGGTCACCGTGCGGGCAAAGTCCATCTTGCGGGAGACGGCGGTGACGACGGCGTCGACCGACGACGATGAGGATACTCACGGCGCTTCCGACGGCAATGGCGACGATGACGGGGCCTCGCATGGCATGATTTGACAAGGTTCATGCTTCTGGCAAGCGCGCGAGGGCATTGTAATACGTTCGACATGCACTCGCGAAAGCGTCCTTGGACAGGAAAGTTGAACAAACAAAACAACAGTTGCTTTTTGTTGTTGACAGGGATGAAAGAGGGGCACGATACCCGGACTAGCTGGGATGGAATGAACTCGTATGCAAAATGCTCAAACCAGGCATCATCAAATGTAGACTGCAGTACCCCGTGGGTGGGGAGTAGTAGTCCGCGGGGGTGGTGCGGACTAGACATTTACACTTTTATCGAGAGTAGAATCAATGTGATGCAACTAGTGTTGTTCGATTTAGAATGTGCAATATTAGTCGTGCGATCTACGTTGTGCGGACTGTGATGAAACATTTGGTGTGCAGTGGATGAGGTGCACTCGATGCGGCGATGTGTATATATCTATATACTCATACACATACGCATGCATATGTACGTACACACACATTTTATATAGCTGCTTTACCGTTACACATGCGCAACCTATGTGGTACATCGCATGTTGTACACTTTATGTTGTACACGATGTGTTGCGCAGCGCACGTGGCGCAATGTAATATATAGTGTGTAATTGATGTGGTGCAATAGACGTTGCACATATCATGTCATGATGCGGTGGCATTTTCATGTTGGGAGTTGTAAGTGCTATTATATACGCGGTGCAACCAATGCGGGGCAATTTATGTGCAGTCTAAGCAGTGCGTTCTATGTTGTGCAATCTAGGGCGGCGACAGGGCGGCGGCGAGGGGGGAGGGCGACCACAGAGCTGCCAAACCACCGCGCAGGCCCAGACGACGGGCGGCGACGGGGCGGTGACGGCGACCACGGAGCCGCCGGACCGCCAGGCAGGCCCAGACGACGGGCGGCGACGAGGCGGGGACGCGGCCGCGACGGCGACCACGGAGCCGCCAGAGCGCCACGCATGCCCAGTTCTTTACCGTAAGAACCCCCGATTGCAAGCACGGTCAGGGGAAACAACGCGTACCCATATTTGCTTCACGGTTCCAGCCGCACCCCCCCTCCCAGTGCGAATGGGATCGGCCCCACCCCCCCGGATGGATGAGTACGCCCGTGAACCCCGCGAAGGTTTCTCGAATGGGATAACCCCCCATCTGTGGTCTTGGCCCTGTGGGCGTGGCGTGGTGGATGAGGGTGCGGGTGCCCTCGCCCCTCCCCCTGTTGGTGTGAGGTGGTGTCGCGGTGCCGTCGTCCTTGTCGTCGTCGCCATCGTCGCCCTCCCCTCCTCTGGGGGTGGGGGCCGTGTGGACCAGTGGGACCATGCCAATCTGAGGGGGGGGGCTGAGCCCTCGACCGGGGATCCTATATCCCGCAGGCGCGGCGATCTGCCATTCGTTCGTCGAAGGTCCCAGACTTGGGCAGAAACCTGGGGCGGGCAACTTTTCTGTCGTTGCCGGTTAGTTGTTTCTTTCCGCTCCGGGCTCTTTTGTCTGCACGAACGAGATGGGCACGGAAAGAATGGGCACGATGCCCAACAGCGGATTTTGTTCATTCTGAACAGGATTCGCTGTCCACGCCGCCGCGGCCTGTGTCCATTCGAGACAGAAGGCCGCCTGTCCAACAGCGGCCACTGTTGGTTTGGGGCAAGATTTGTTGTTGGACATTGTATACAGTACCCATTTTTTTCGGGGGAGCGTAAGACCCGGGTTTGCCAGAACTCGGGTTCGCCATCCTTTTTTGACGACCGCGCCTCGGATTTTGACGAGGAGGAGTTTCGTGGGATGTCTGCAGCGGGAGGCCTCGTCAAAATGCAGGCTCGGCCTCGTCATTTTTTTGACGACCTCGTCGGGGATTTCCGAGTCCCCTGTACCCAGGTCTTACGTCCCCCTGATTTTTCCGTATCCATCTCGGGCGTCCAAATTTTGGGGCATCTCTTGTCCTCCACGGGCGGGCCTCCGGGTCTTCACGGCCGGACCGAGGTATAAGATCCAGGCCGGTTCGGGGAGGGTGCCCTAGTTTATATCAGCCTCGAACGTCTCCCCATCCCTGAAATTGACACGCCAAAAGGCGATGACAATCTTAGGGATCCGCCCTCAAAAACTAAGGGAATCCCTAATATTGGCATCGTGATGAGGAGGTGCCCAGCATAGGGATAGGGATATGCTCCAGGCTGGTAACTAGTGTGTTTCGTGTTTGTTGGATGTTCTTGTGCATTCTGGGGAGGGTACCCTTGGATGTTGTCTCTGTTTCGGCCGACGGAGTGTCTCGTGTTCTTAAGGGGTGTTCTTCTGGCCCAGGTCCGCCTGTGCCTTCTGCAGTCCTCCACGACGCCGCGGAGTCCCCGCGGCCAGGCCTCCAGAGTCGCCCCCCCGCTGGCCGGAGGGGATGGGAGGGGACAGTGCCGTCGTTGCCGAGAGCAGCCATGGGCAACGAAGGTCGGGGTTCCTCACAAAACCCCTCCCCGTGCTTCCTCGTGCCCTCCCCCTCAGTCTTCCTGACCTTCCGCCCTAACTTTCCGTGTCTTTTTCGATCTGATCTATGTGGGTTTCTTCGAGTTGCGTAAGGTATCCATGAGTTTCGATGAATTTTTCCGCACCATCCGCGGAGGTCGGAAGGTGCCTAGAAGGTGGAGGTGGAGGGCAGCCCTCCTCTTGCTTCCTCGTGAGGTGCCCTGGCTTCGTGAGGGCCCTGGGACGGAGGTGATGCTGCGGGGCGTTGCCGTTCTGGCCGCGCTGGTGCGCTGGCATTTCGGAGCCCCGTGAATGCGCGGCGATGAGGCGCGCGGGAAAGAATGTCGCGAGCGGCTCCCGCAATGTTGCTGCATGTTGCGATCGCGTAAGCTCGGCATCGCCCAAGCTCAGGAAAGGAAGAGTTACCGATGCCGCCAACTTTCCTCGTTGTCCCTTCTGTGGGGTCCTTTTGGGAGGCCCGCGGCGCCGCCGCCGCTGGATTCACCTCGGCATCCTCGTCAGAACGCACCCAGGAGAGGTCCGGAGAGTAGCGGCACGGTGGAGACGTTGAACGGAGTGGGCCTTGGAAGCGGCAGGGCGTTCTTTCACCGTTTCCGGAGAAGTGTCTCTCGAAAATGAAGCCGGGAACAAACGCGGCTCTAGGATTGGAGCCAGAGCCGGAACCGGTAAGAACAAATGGCGACGGAACCGCGGTAGGTACCAAACGGCGCCGGAACCGGTGAACAAAAACCGGCCAAACGGAACCGGTAAGAAAATCGGCCCTGTCGTTCCCAGGGCCCACTTACCCGGCATCGCTCGGACGTGTGCATTTTCTCTCGGCGAGGACCACTGAGGACGCTCCTGGACCAGCGAGCAAA